CACATATACTTAGCCGAAATCATATCGACTAAGTGACTCGTGGATTTCTTGACTGAGTTAAGTACTTTGGAGCGACTACTAGACCTGAACACGACTCATATACCTCAGGTAAAACACATAAATCATGCCAACATCAATAAAATCCAATCCGAACCTAAACAACGGATAATCGAGCATTAAGACTCTAAAATAAACAAAATTCAGAATCTAGAATTAGACATAACCAATCAACCTGAAACTTTACCACATCACCAGGCATACAGAAACACATAATCTCACCAAGTTTCACCCCTAAATTCATTCAGGAGCATTTTTAAATAATTTAAGCAAAAACAGTGTCAAAACCCGACATTAATAGTTCATATAGCTACACTTCGAATTTTAATCCAAACATCTGACACAACACTGAATACCACAAAATAACATACTCCGCAAAATTTCAGCTCAAAAATCCAAGTGTACGATTTTTAATGAATTTTACAAAATTTTGACCAGAAACCGATTTAATTAATTAAAATAGCTACAGATGGAGTTTCGACTTGAAAATTTTACACGACCTACAAAATCATCACAGAACATCACATATATAAAATTTCATGGCAGTCGGACAATCACACGATTTATCATGAATTAATTACGATTCAACAGCATGCTCGGTTTTGAAAATTCATAACTCATGATATACATATCGAAACGACCTCAAACAAAAATCAATAAATCAAGGTCAACTCCAAGTACCTATAACTCCAGGATTTCCACGAAAAATACCACATTAAACTCAGTTCGACAATAAACCAAAGTGACGGCAATCACTTTGATACCCAAATCGCATATGAGCTCATAATATTGCTCGATAAAAAAAAATACCCAAGGCATGTAATCAACTCATAACTTATATGTTTAACAATTTAGCACGTAATGTAACATAATAACACAAACATAAACTCATATCTCTTATGATCAGCACATCCACCAATATTAACACACATATATATTGCCAAATTCCAATATCTGAATCATCACATAGAACACCATAGGATCCAGTTCGCAAGAATTAATTGAGGGAAAAATGAGGTTCACCTCTCTTTCGGGCTACCCACACAAGAAAGTGAATGATCGAACGAGAGGACCGAAGTCACGACGAGCAACA